AGGCTGTCTAAATCCTCTAAACAAATAGAGACGAATGAAAATTGACTGACTTATTCAGATTGAAAAAAAAATAGAGGTACGTAGGGGAAGGAGCAAGATAAAATATTTTATCATTTTTGACCAAACACAACCATGTAGAAAAATATTTTTGCTCTATCAATGGCTAGATTTAATAGTGCGGAGTCTGTTTTAACTTTTTTTGCCAGTTTTCCCAAATGTAGTTTTATTTTGCTGAAATGGCAAAGAAAGGGGTTAGAAAAATTAGCATTAATTAAACTTTATTTCTCTTGGCCACAGGCCACACAGTTCAAATAAAGTGCAGCTTCTAGCCAAGTCCCCTCACAAGCAAAATTCAGAATGCACAGCTTAATTCATGTATAGCTTGTTTTTCTGACAAGAAAAATGAGAAAAGGAGGGGATAAGGACAGAAAAAGTTAGAAGATGAACAGGAAGTACATCTCCTGTTTAGCTTTCTTTAATTTTCTGCTTTTAGGGGAAATAATGAGAGTGGAGAGGGGCAAAATAGGATACAAAATTATGTTTCAACTCTGTAGAAACATATGCAGGTACATAAATAAACAAATACAATATATTTCAGTGAACAAAAGCTCCATTCTTCCGGTTTAGGTCAAATCCCTTGGCGTTATCTTTGACTTTGCCTTACACATCCCTCCAATATGCTTCCAAAATGGATCCAGATCCAATTGCTTGTCAACACTTCACCACTACCCCACCGGTCCAAGCCACTATCATCTCTTCTGTGGAACACATAAAAGCCTCATGAACTGGTCCCTACGTTTCTTTCCAAGAATGTTCTTTGCTACCTCTGATCTGGCTCCCTACTACCTCCATGACTTCATCTACTCTTCTCCCCTTCACTCCTTCTGTTCCAGCCATGAGCTGTTTTTCTAACATGCTAAGCATTTTCTAACTTCAGGGCCTTGTCACTTGATGTTCCCTTTGCCTAGAACATTCTTTCCCCAGATTTGCTTCATGGCTTGCTCCCCTATTCTTTCATGGCTCTATTGAATGCCTCAAATTATCAGAGAGGTCTTTCCAGACCACTCTACATAAAATGGCAAATCTCCATCCAGTACTCTATAGCTCTCTTGCCCAGTTTTATTTTATTTTATTCTTCTCCATGTCATGTACTAACACCCAATGTACATTTATTTGCTTATTTATTGTCAGACTCTCTCCCATTAGAATTTATGCTCCCTGAGGTACTGTTTTGTTTATTGCTATATCCCCAATGCCTGCAACAGTGCCTGGTATATAGTTGATGTTCAATAAGTATCAGTTGAATTAATAGATGAATCAATGGGTAATCAGCTAAATAAAATGAATACATAAGGAAGAAGGGGAGAGAAGGTGGAGGAGAATGAAGAGAGAAAGAAATAATACACAACCTCCAAATACTTCCCTGTAAGTTATTAGTATGGGTGAACATTCTGTGCTTCTCTCAGTTTTCTTAAATGTATAAAATAAAGATGTGTTACTCCTATAATAAAAAAATAGTTGACCTTTACCCTAAAAAATTTTGTCAAACTTAAGATTTCACTAAGATTTGAAAATAAACAACGAAAATGTTTTTTTAAAAAAAAAATCAATGTTTTTCAGTTTTAGAGGATGGACAAGTCAAACAGTAGGTAGGGTTCTTGAGACGAAGGCCCAAGTTGTCTCAATGGCACCATCATCCACGGAGCTGTCCAAGCCAGACACATAGGCTCCTTGCCACCAACTCTGTCTCCCCCAGGGTTCCCGTAATTGCCCGTGCTGTCCATCCTCCAAAGCTATCACTTCGTCTTTTCCATGCCCATCGCCATTTCTATTCCCATTGCCATCTACAGACACCTAGGGGCCATTTTTATTCCTCCCTCACATCTAAAAGTGAATCAAATCCTCTCAATTTTCTTCCTACCTCTTTCTCCAATCTATCTCTTCTTGTCCACCCACACTGTCACTGCCTAAAGGAGGTTCTGGATTATTTTTCCCCCTAAATTCCTACTTCCTAATTCAACTCTCTATATCTAATCCCTTCTCCTTAGGCACCCTCCCCACTGCTGCTGGGTTTTTTCTAAATCATAAACCTCATCATCTCATTCTCCATAGATCTAAAATCCTTCAGGTTAGCACGCAGGGCTCTTTCCAGACCTGACCCTGCCTATCCCTCTAGTCTTCCTCCTGTGAGGGCCCATTGCCCTTCTTTCCAGCCAACCCAACTCAAGCACTCATGACTCCCCAAACTCCTTGGCCATCTCCTGCCTCCACACCTCAAGCATATCCATCTATCTTCTTGGAATGTCAATCTTTAGCCTAGTTACCAGGGACCTATCCTTTAAAACTCACTTCTCTTGCCACATTCTCTGGAAGGTACTCTTTGCTCCTATTGATCTAGATGCTATTCCTCTGGGTTCTCAGAGGAATGTGTGCTGTGTTTTACATTGGAGTCTTACATTGGAATCTTATGTTGGAATCTTACATTGGACTGCCTTAGCCTCCTAAGGGAAGGCTCCATGTTTTAGACTGAATTTTCTTTTTAACATTTAACTCAGTGTTTACCATCTAGTAGACATTTAATAAATATTTGCAATGGAAAGGGGCAGAGGAGAGAGGGAAGTCAGCTGGGTAATTAGATGGACTGGGCTATAAATATGTTGAAGGAGAAGTACATAAGATCTTAAGATGTGCACACTAACTCTCTAGTGGATATTTGCAAACCTTGGAGTTGGGATAATTTGAAGTGAACAGCATTTGATGGTTAAGAACAGACAGATCACATGGATTTGAATCCCAATTGAACCACTTAGAAGCTGACTGACCCCAAGCATATCATTTAACCCATCTGAGCTGTAGTTTCCTCACCTAGTAAATGAGAAAAATAATATCGTCTCCCTGTTAAAGCTGGTGTGAGGTTAAACAGGATAACTCACGTAAAGGGCTGAGCACAGTGCCTGGAAGCAGTAAATGTTCAGTAAATGTCATTAGTGATAATAATGATGATAATCATTAGGAAACAAGACTCTGAAGTATTTTTAACAGAACAGTAAGAGGAGGCCCAATAATCAAACTATCCAATATATCAAACCAGAATCACAGTCAATGGTATTTCAGCCCCTAAATCAGCATCATCTTAGAAGGGCTTGGGGATGCCAACCAGCTGCTCTGTAGAGCATGCAAGCCAGCATCACAAGAAAAGGCAGGGACTGCTCAAATTTCTCAAGAGTTAACAGCAGTCTCAAAACTGTGTAGTCAGAACAGTTCTGCAGGATGGCAATGTGTGTTATATAAAATAAAATGTTCCAGGATCAAATAAGATCATGAGACTTTGTAAACCAAGTCCGACAGTAATATTTCCTGCAGAAGTTCTCTGTGTTTTTCAGATCACTGCCTGGCACTTTTCAAAAATGCCCCAATTCAAGGAAAGTTCCAAGGGCCTAGCATTTACCCTCCCAGGTCAACTGGGAAGAAGGAAGAGACGGAAAGAAGAGAAAAGAACACACAACCTCCAAATAACAGCACGGGTGAAGACTTTGTACTTTTCTCAATTTTCTTAAATGTATAAAATAAAAATGTGTTACTTCTGTAGTGAAAAAACAGGTAACATTTATCTTAAAACAATTTTGCCAAATTTAAGATTTAGCTAAGATCTAACAGAAAATGAAAGTAGAAGTTTTTTTTTAAAGTCAGTGTTTCACAGTTTTAGGATGAGAAATGTGCTGTTTGTGAGCTAACGGAAAGACAGAAGGGTTTAGTTAATGAATGCAGTGCTCCAGACAATCCCAAAACAGAGGACTCAGAGGACCCAGAGGCGTGTAATTCCACCCGGGCCCTGCTGCTCCCCAAAGCCCCTCCAGTTGGCAGTGGGCATCTGCTTGGACCCAGGAGGGGGAAGGCCAGGTCTCAGCGGACACCTCATGGGCAGATCCTGGGTAGAGACCTATGTCGGTAAGGAGACCCCAGCGCACCTGACAATTTCCAGCCTCAACCCGCACAGCCTCCAGGAGGGCTCCCTCTGGTGGCCTGGAGGCGAGCTGCTCCAGGGCGGCGCTGAGTTCAAGCTGAGCCAGCAAAGGCCAACCCGGCCTCTCCCCTCCATCACCGCCACCGGTCTGAAGCTCTTTTCTCTTGTATTCATTTGCTTTTGAGCATCTTTAGTGATTCTGTTAGCTTCTCTCTTTCATTCCAAATTGGTTTCCTGTCATTTTTATGAGAACGAATTTATTGGTGCTTTAAAAAAATATAAAAATGTCTTTGTGCCTAAATCTTTCCTTAACAGGTTTCTCTACAATGTTTGTTCTCTATTCTCTCTTTCTTTCTTTTTCTGAATTCAGTGCTTCTGGGCCCAAGTAAATGGAAGCAGAGCTGGTCAAGGCTGGAGTGCCAATGGAGTGGGAGCAGCCAGGCCTGAGGGTGGCTGAGCCAGAGCTGCTGCCCCTGCTAAGGTCTATTACTCACTTAGCCACGCCGCAAGGCTTTTCCCCCAGGCAGCTCATCCCCCTGCCTCTCTCTGAGTAATACACACACGAGGCGCGGAGCCATCACTTACACAAATAGCCATGAGCGCCTTCAGACCAGTGTTCGGCTACTAAGAAGGCAGACGCCCTCGAGAGGCCAGAGGGAAAGTGCCTGCTCAAGGGCTGTAGGCACCTCTTCAACTGGCCTCACAGGTGCTTTCTCTGCAGGGCAAAGTGCTGGTCACAATGGGGGCAAGGGCTGCCCGCTTGTGTCCCAGGGAAGGGGACGTGCACTTTGCCAGTGCTAAGCAAGAGGCCTTCTCTGGAGCATGGGAAGTGGTGGGTCCAACCCTGGTGCTGGGGCCAGGGCGAGTGGGCGGCTTTGAGGGAGGGAACGTGCCGCGAGCAATGCCTTCTCTACTCTCCTGCTCCTTCAGGTAGACCTGGCAACAACCTACGAGAGAGGAGGTGGGGCACAGCCCGCTCCCCGGTCCCACGCAAACATCACCTACTCAGATTTACTGAAGACCCCTGCAAAGAAACGCATAAGGTAGGCTTAAAAGTATTTGGTCAAACGTAGGGAGAACGCCTCCCACAGGGCTGAGGGGAAAACAGCAGTTTGCAGAATTGCACATATTGCACATATCGTGATTCTGACTATGTAAAAAGGACACCCCTACAATATGCATGAAAAAGACAGGAATGGATAAAGTACAATTATTTTTCTCTGTTTAGTGGGATTATCAGTGATATTTATTTTTCTCTTCACAAAGTTCTGCTTCTAATTTTTCTACTATGAGCATTCTCACTTTTATCAACAGAAAAGGTCACTAAGCCATTTGTTAAAAAATCTGCTAAACCCCTCTTTGCAGGGTGACAATTATAGATAGGACAGGTATGTATGTGTGTTTGTGTGCGTATTTGTGTGTTCCTGTGTGAGTGTGCATGCTTATATAGATACATACACCATGAACATATATAAATAAATGTGAATAAAAGTTTATGCCGTGTGTCCATGAATGTATACATGTATTATATATAATAGATGTATTATAAATAATATATGTATCATATCATGATCAACTTCAAAGATCCACCAATTCCTATGGGTAAACCCACAGGAATATGTCACAACTAGGAGGTCATCAACAAATAAGACAAAGAGACACCTACTAGCTGTGATAGGGTTTGTCTTCATTTTCTGGGGTTAAGTGACTGTTGCAAAATAATCCATTTGCTCTTCATGAAGATGGCTGCTTTGACAGAATAAAATGGGGAAGGCCCTGCCTGGAGCAGAAGCGCGTGCTGCCATGGTGACAGTGATCTTAATTGATATTTGTGCCCAGCGGCAGCTTCTCTCTCTTTTTCCTCCTCCCAAGTGAGAAAGTGCCCTTCACAGGATGGAACCAGGCGGGCCAGGCTGTTTTCTCTTGGGGCCATGCAAGCCAGTGCCAGCTATGGAATCCTATGGCTGCCCCTCCCGCCTGCTCTGCCAGTCACCAGCCAGTGCCCCTCTAACAGGTGCCGTTGTGCTCTGTGGCCCCTGAGGCTCCTCTTGTAGGGAAGAGCCTTGAAATGCCCGGCCTGCACCCTCCAGCACTCATCCTCCATGCCTAAGGGTTCTCAGGACGGGCCCCTCACTGCACGTCCTGCTCTCCTCCTGGGGGTGCTTTCTGGAGAGCAGGGCAGAGCCTGCAAGGAATGGAGGGCTTTGTTAGGCATGACCTAATCCTCAAAGGCACGGAAGGTTGGGCCCCAGAAGGTGAGGAAAAGGCATGGTGGGCCAGATGTCTGAGTTTCCCCTCCGGGTTTCTGCATCCCTGTGGAGTTCTTAAAATCTGACCCCACCTTCGCTACTGCCTGTGGGGAATGGCGCTCTTCCTCAAGTCACGTGTTAAACAATCTTCCAGATATTTTCTTTGGAGAGCTTTTGCTTTTTCTCTAGTTAATCCTTGAAGGGCAACATGGTGGGGGGGGGGGGGGGGGGGGCGTGTGTACATGTGTGCATGCATGATTAAGAACAAGAGTTGTTCACTCCAACAACTCATTGGCAGAGTGGAGCCTTCCAGTTGGCACAGGGTGATATCTGGAAGACTTTTAGTCCCTCTGTCTGTTCAATCAGTCATTCATTCTTTCATTCATTCAGAACATGATTCAAAGTTTGGTTGCACTAGATGCATAATGGACTTGGAAATCCAAGTTATAGTCAAAAGATATATTACTTTCTGCTATATAAAGTTCTATAACCCTTTGTTACTAGCACAAAAATTCATTATGAATATTTCAATTTCAAAAATACTAGACTCTCTGGCCAAAATTTAAATCAGAGCAAGCCCTATGAAAAGGCTTAGTCTGTGTCAGGACTCTGGGTGGTAAGAGGTGGTCTCCCTAGTCCATTGAGTTTACAGCTAAAGAGGGAGTCCATTGGTCCCAGAACTGGGGAGTCCAGGGCTGTAGGGTTTAAAAGTCAGGCTTTGCTGGATCCAGGGGCTTGGATGACATAAGTCAATTTCTCTCTCTCTCTCTCTCTGGCTCCTTATCTACAGCTGGAAAGATGGTGCAGGCCGCTAAAATACCATATCCTCACAGCTACTGTTCCAAACTGATGACGTGCACATACTCTCTCTCAGCATCCATATGGCAAATCTCAAGAAAGATAATACACATACACACGTAAGTCGTGGCTGTTTCAAAGCCAATCACCCTGGCTTGGAAATAGACAACTTGGACTAGCCCCCCAGGGTCTCATGGCCCCTTCTGTATTTGGGGTCATGTGGAAAGCTGGTGGGGTGCTGTGGGGGCAGATGCTGCTCTGGGCTTTGCAGATGTATCAGGGTCCTGTGGAATGGGGGAAGGATGGTTACCTAAAGGAAAAGTAAGGTGTGTTTACCTGAAGAAGGGGAAAGGAACACCAGATGGACAAATACTTTCTCAAAGCATCACTTAAAATGTACCTGAAAAGGAACTGGTCCTATTGGAAAGAAGTTCAAGAAACTAAAAGTGGGAACAGAGAAAAAACAAATGGTTTTTCTATTTAACAATGATAAGTAGAAACATTCTATTCAAAGTTGCTGAATAGAATATTATCAATGGCATACATTGGCTCAAGGGTTTGCTCCAGAAAACACCTTCACAGTGAAAATCCAGGAATGATGGCATCTTGATTAAAATGTTTGTTTTCATAAAACAGAGGCCAAGCAGCCTCAAAGTCAAAACAACTTTTCCTGGAACTGAGGTATGTTTTCCCCCAAAGAAGTCCAAATTAAATTAAGATGGGGTGAACAGCATCTGGACATTCCTGATCTTATATCTTGACATAATTTAGCCTCAGAGGCAGTCGCCTTTTCTTAGAAGATGATCCTTCTTTTTCTTCTGATGGGCTTTGTCCTTAAGTGGGGGAGGAGGGAAGCTTGCTGGAATTTGTCACACCGCCTGACACCATTACACATCTCCCAGCCTCTGGTGGCTCTGCCCTGGAGGTAGGAGAGAGAGGCAGAGAGAGACAGAGAGAGACAGAGAGAGAGAGGGAGAGAAACTCAGGACTTCACAAAAGTGTTCACAAGGCTGTTCAAAGTCACAGGCTCTGAAGGGGGGTGTCAGTCACCAGCTGACGCTTGGCTGTCCTGCTTTACACAGTTTTATGACTTTTAATCTATTTCCATCAGTTATCCTGTTTTATGGCTGCAAATGATAAGATAAATTGGGTCCTCTCTCCTTCTCTCTCTTTCTGTCCACGGCACAGGTTAGAGGACCCACTGCAGGTCTGTAAACCACAACAGATCGTTCCACAAGCCCAGGCCCCCTCTTGTAACCTCACCCAGTAACAATTTGTGTAGGCAGAATATTGAACTGCAAAGCCCGTCTCAGAGGGCAAGAGACTAAGCTGATGCCAATTTTGAAAGGGGTTTAGCAGAGGTCTCTCCCTCGGAGAGCCCATCATGCCTCTTTGACAAGGCCAGTCGCCCTTCTGGTCCTATGCAGACAATTTCCCCTTAAGCCTAAAGCCCACCAGCCGTGTGACTTAGACAAGTCACCTGACTGCTCTGGGCTCATCTATAAAAGGAGCAGATCGGCTTAGGTGATTTCTGTGGCCCTTCCAGTTCCAGGAGTCTACGATGCTGTGACATCCTGATGCTATATGCCACCACCATGATATAGGGGAGTTCCCTACCACCAGTATTCTTTCTGGTGTCTCTCAGGTAAAGGCCAGCCCTAACCTCACCCCCGAAGGGTTTGTGTGCAACGGCAGGAACAAAAGCAAGGACAGACAGGGGGACAGGCCCCAGCTTCATTCAGATTAACATTGGTAAGGTTAAGTCAGTAGCATCCTTAATAATGCAGCCATTTCTTTCTCGTTCTCCCCTCTGGGATTAAAGCTTGTGTGCTGACTGTTGAAAAATCAGTCATTAACGGCCAGGAAATGACTTCCCCATCCATCAGAACACTGCCCAGCCATGTTTCAGCTTTTCCCCCTTTCCCTGCGTAATTATTCTCATCCACCACTGATTACAGTTTATAATAGCCATAATTCTCTCGGAATCAATCATTACTTTACTTTACCACAGGGTTACCAGTAGAAACATGAGGGAATGCAGATACCCCCGGCTGGGTTTTATTTTTTGGAAATTGCCTGCTTTCGTCTGGATCTCATTTAATCATCTGGATGTTCAAAGAAAAGCCAAGATTTTAATTCAAAGGCATTTTTTTCTACTTGCCCTTAACTCTTCTTCTTATTTTTCTTTTAAGAGGAAATGATGACTGGTTAAATGAGGCTAATATTGTGCAAAATCTGCTGTGTTGTTCAGAGTGATCGGCGGGGGCCAGGGCAGAGATCCTTGTCAAATCCGTATGCTTCTTTGGCACTTTACTTACTTGAGTGTTGTTCAATCTACCCATCCTGTATGATTTCCTAGAAGGTTCAAGAATTGTCTTTTCCTTCCATAGACCCATTAGAATAAAAATTCCTCTTGGGGGAATAAAGGTTTTTCTTATACATTCTGGAGAGGTATGACAATCAGTCCTTCACACCTTAGTGAGAATTTAAGGCAGTCTGTTTTATTCAGTACTTACAAGACTTCCTATGTTTAATATATTGTGCCAGTGCTTTGGTGAGTTTAAAAAAAAAATGAATATGATCTAGTCATTGCATCCCGGAGCTCACATGGTGGCTGGGAGTGGTAGGAAGATAGACATATAAATAGCTATTTCAGCATTCATCACATATGCCTTGGAAAGTTAGGGTACAAAGCGCAACAGGAGTAGAGAAGAGGCCATTTATCCACTAGGGATCTTAGAATTCCTGGAGGAAATGCGATTAGAACTGAACTTTGAAGGAGGGCAAGGACTTGAACAAGTTGTCATTCCAGGAGCGGGCTGCAGAAATTAACCTCAAAGGCCTGGTCGGGGACGAGAGGTTGAGGGAGACCAAGGCCGGCAGGAAAGGCCTGGAACAGTGGGATGACCTGGGGCCATGAGATGGTGACAAGGCCAGCAGTCTGCAGCCCAAAGGCTGGCTGCAGCATCGGGTAACCCCCAGGAAAGCTTTGGAGAACCGTATAAGCCCTTCTCGGAAGAATCCTAGAAACTCTTGCTGAGGTGGCATTGGCCACACAAGAGAAAAGGGCAAAACATCACACGATTCGGGATGTATTCTTGGAAATGTGACCTCATGGCTAGTGACGATGGGGACCTATTGGTTATAATAATGAAAGGAGTACTTTTACAATATTGGATGCCCACCAAAAGACATAGTCTTTTCAAATCCAGGCAAAACCAGGTTGAGTTGAAGCTCTAACAGAAGAAACTTTATTTAAAAAGTTTTAAATATTAACTTAATATTTTGGAAGTACTGTATCAGCATCAACAGCAAATGCTCTCAGACCCACTTACACAAAGGAAGGGTTGTATCCTCGGTGGGAACAGGGCAGCACGGCCAGCCTCACATCCCTCTTTACTCGTGCATGGTTGGTTTACTGGGGAACCTGTGAACTCTCATAAAGCTCCCTTCACCCGCATTTGCCATATTTGCCATCTGTAAGAGACATGAAATCATTTATTCAGTGAAAGCCCAGGGGTCTACAGTCTGGGGGAAAATGTTCCAGGTAACTGCTAATCTGGAAGTTATTTTCTTTCCCCAAACAGCCAGGGTGGTCCATATCAGTGGTTTCTAGCTTTTTTAGTTTTGTAAACCAGTAAAAGTAAAATCTTTAAAAAAATTGGGTGGTAATTAGGGGGAAATATGGGTTTGCCTACTTTTTATTTTGCCAAGTCAGGGCATAAAAAATAACTACTCCCATCTACTCTCTCTGTTGTTTCACACCCCAGAAAAACACATCTTGATCCCAACACCATAAGCAAACCATAATCCCAGCATAGAGGGTAGTCCTTTCAGTTAAAAGCTTGTTGAAAAAAACCTCACTTCATTGTCTTCACTTTTCTCGTTTTGCAACAGAATGCTCAAAGATGCGCTTTTGAAGGGCATGGACCCCCTGAGAAGTTCTGACCTGTGTGTGTCCTCTCTCTGGTGGCTAGAAGATAGCTCAGAGAGACACAATTCTAAGGTCTATGCCTGTAGGGCATAGAAGACCAGCCAAGTACACAAAATTAGGACAGGAAAGTGTTAAAATGCTGGAACGGAACCTGGCCAGAAAGGTCTCCCGTTTAAGTCATTCTTGGTTAGGGTTTTCGTTAATCCCCAGAGTGAGGGCAGAGGGAAGGAAAGGATGGATGGCTAATAATAATTATTACTGAATCCCTGCTATGTGCGTACTACATGTTATGTATGTATGCACACTGAATCCCTACTATGCATGTATGTGGACTGAATCCCCACTGTGTATGTATGTATGTATACTGAGTCCCTGCTATGCATGTATGTGGACTGAATCCCTACTATGTATGTATGTATGCTGAATCCCTACTATGTATGTTTGTGGAGTGAATCTCTACTATGTATGTATGTAGGTATGCTGAATCCCTACTATGCATGTATGTGGACTGAATCTCTACTATGTTCTATGCTGAGACCTTTTATCCATACCATCTCATTTAATCCTCAAGACAAGTTTAGGAAACAGGTATTCAACACGACTTCTTTTCAGTTGGAGAAAATAAGCCAAGAGAGGCTCAGTCCTTGGTCTCTGATTACACAGAAGTGGGAGCCGAACTCACATTTACCTGACCTGAGAGTCCGTCCCGACCACTGCAACAAGAACCCCGCTGCAGGAGGCGTGGCTCTTTCATGTAATCACCACGCAGACGTGTGCGTGGCCACAGATAGATGTTCAGCAAAGTGTTTATAGTGTATTCCGTCATATGGCTTTTCTAAGACTCAGTGAATCCTTTGTCATTTTTATAAAGCTCTGGGTTGAAAGACTGTCTGCAGACATCGTTAAGGGATGGACCTGGGGGAAACAGCTACAGACAGGGATCTGGCATCAGGCAGGCTGACGAGGTAAGCAGTGGTCCTCATAGAACGGGCCGCACTGGGTCTCTCCCCAGACCCATCTGAGTAGACTGCCCTTGACTTCCAGAGTTTCAAGAAAGCGTCTGCAGTCCTGCAGGCTCTGGCTTCTGTCTGCTGTGTCTACCAGGTTGGACACAAATTCCAAGAAACGTGAATCACCTTCTTCCCTGTGGGGCTTTGTTCCATCTTTGGTCCCAAATATTTCATAGCACCCAGTGCCAAAAAGAAGCCCTGGGAGAGGTGAGCTTGCGTATTAATTCCAATGGCGTGGTAATGAGAACTTCATTCACTGACTGAATTCCCTGATGTCCCCCATCCTTTCCTGGTTCATTAGCCCTCGGTACCTTGCCCGGCTGCTGAATCTCAAGAGAAGGAATGCGTTCCCTGCCCCTCCGGCAGATCGCAGCGTCCTCTCCTCCCTGCTTGTCCCCCAGGGCCATCTGCTCCTGCTCCTCACAGAGGTCTCTATCCCGGCACAGAGTGCGCGTCCTCCCTCCCCAGGAGAGGACGCCCCTAAGTGTGAGGGGTACCCCCAGGTCCTGGAATCCTGAGAAGCCCCACCAGGTTTCCCTGCTCCGATATTGGGGGTGCGTGTGTGCACGTGTGCGTGTATGTATGTGTGTGTGTGCGGCCCCTCGTTCTCACCCCCCACCCCAACACAGCAGACACGTTTGCTTGTTTCAGAGTGGGACCTAATTCTGTTGTGGTCAAAACAGGAGACAATGCTTTTCAGTAATGAGTCTACAGTCCCGGGTGAAGATTCACATGTGCGAGGAATTGTGTAGGATGGGGAGGGGAGTTGTGGTTTGGGGAGAAAGTGTAAACTACAATTTTAAATCCACCCAACGGAGGTTACAGTCAAAAGGCGACGGCTTCATTCTCAACTTAGGTAAAGAAGCCGACACACGTGCACAGTAGAAAAGTCTCATTTCATCTCTGCTATACAGTCCTGCCAGACAGTGTCCCCGAACTCTCCATCCAGGCAGGAGTGTGTGTGTGTGTGTGTGTGAGTGTGTGCGCGCGTGTGTGTTAACTGGCCCCGCAAACTAGGAAATGTGGAGGAAGCCTGCTTGCTCCCTGTCCTGGAGACCTGCTCCAGCCACTGCTCTCAAGGCGGCTGCAGCGCTGAATCCCGCCTTCAGGCTTTGTGAGGGGCAGGGCCCACCTCATGGGTGTGCACCCTTAGCCCAGCACCTAGAAGGGCTCTGTGCTTGCTTTAATGCTCTGCTGTCGCCATCTCAAAATTCTTAATCATTTGTCACAAGGGCTCTGCATTCCCATTTTGCACTAGGCCCCATAAATTATCAAGCCAATCCTGTTGACAAGCATATTACAGATAGAACAATGGCAAAAACGCCCAGTATAAATTAGCTGTGTGATCTTGGGTCAGTCACTTCACCCCTCTGAGCCTCAGCTGGGTTTGAATTTGGTGGTTCTCAACCGTGGCTGCACTTCGAATCACCTGTGGAACTTTGGAGAAACGTCAGTGTACCGGAATCGTTTTGGAAAAGGGCCTGGCGTCAGTGTTGCTTTGGAGTTCTGTCCGAGGTTCTGCAGGTGATTCCGATGCACAGTCCATTCTGCACATACAGGCCTAGACGATCTCTCAGCTCGAAGCTGTGTTTTCCGTGATCGCGCATTCACTCTCCCTAGTGCTGGTTAAAGTTCCTGTGGCTGCTGTAGTCCCTTCCATAATACAGTCGTGCTTGTTCTGATTTAAAACTAACATTTTAAATTTGTTATTATCTAGAAAAATTGACACCCCAGGAAGAGGTACCATGTTTAATTTGTACGTAACTTGTGTGTGTGCTGTATGCTCTCAGACGTGTATAGCCCACTCTGAGAGGCCCAGGACTGGACTCATGGTGATCCTTAAAGACCCTAATTTCTCCAACATTCTTTCCACGTGTGATCTGTCTCCCTTAGGTCTTTCCAGATAGCCATGTGCAAGTGAGAAATGAATTCCTTGGAGTCATGAATTCTTTGGATGTGTGTGTCCTGCCCTGCTAACATCACCAACCCTCAGCCTTCAAAGAAGTTCAGTCTCTATACCGGACAGGTTAAAACAAGGAGTGCTTGGCCTAGGCCCAAGACAGGAAGTGGAATTCTCAGCTGCTCCAACATGTTAACAAAAGAATCCTACCCTTAGTCACATTAGGAAACACCGATACTGTTGAACATTTGATACCAAGTTAGATCTTTTAGTGCTACCCTGGGATTACTCTAGACAAAAACACAGCAAAGAGACATATGCCTTCCATGTCCCTTGTTCTCTGCAGGATCCCTCAAAAGGATCAATGTACCCAAAGTGTATTTTACCATCCTAACCAGACTGCCCACAGGGGAGTTAGTACATCACATACCCAAAACCATCTTTCTTCTCTCACATAGCTGCCCCTGGAATAGGATGTGATAAACTAATTATTGCTAAAGTGTCAATGACTGATACAGTTTTTAGCTCTTTCCAAATGTATTACATTGCAACAGGGCTGCATTTACTTAATCCAAAAGAATATGGCTTTCAGGTGGAATTTCAGGCATGAGTTGCAAGCAAGGAGGGGTATATTTAGAATTAGAACAGCCTTCCTGGGCTCCCTCAGATAACACAGCCTCCTCTGGCAGCTGGCCAGATGTTTGTCATTTAAGCAACAAATAATGCTGTCGGCAAAGAAGTCTTTGAACATGTGAAATCATATATTAGGAAGTCAACCAACCCAATAAACAAAAAAACCCCAAGGATGTCATTTGAATTCCTATTCAAATTGTTCAAAGATGGAAAGAGGAATTGAGGGTGCTTCAGTAAAACCTAGCAGATGAACAAGGTTTTTAACATTAATGCTGGGAAAGTGAGGAAAGAAAGAAAAAGTGAATTGCAGTTGAGAAGGATCTAGGCATACAAGGTGAATCTCGGGTGTCTGCAAAGCACTTTGGGTCCAGGAAACCAGCAAAGGGAGATGTGAAAGATTTAGTAGAGAAACTAAACAATGTGCCCTGTGGGAGGGAGTGGGTGCCGAAATACAGGCGGCTCTCCCCTTCCCAGACATAGGTGTGCTCACCCAGAGGGGCTCCTTTCTCTAACGTGTCCATTGGAGGGGATGCTGCTTCCTAATGAGTCTGTCAGAAAAGCGCTCTCCTCATTTTCCCAGAGCTTTCTTATAGGCCAGTGGCAGCCCTGGAACCAATCCCATCTCATCTGTGGTCTGTATGGAGAAAACTTTAAAGCAAGAACAGCCGATGGAAGCAGAGTCTCATAGGAATTCAGATCTAGACCTAACAAGGAGGGCACCCCAAAAAAGCAAGCAAAGGAATCGCGATTTGTAAAAGAAACGCATTTAATGGCTTTCTCAAAATTTTTGTGAATCAGGTCACTAATTACCAGTCAACCCTTGCCTGGAACAGACAAAAAAGAAGTGACCTCTCTCTCCTTCCTGCAAGGCTTGACCTGTAATTTGGGGACAATGCAGAAGAAATCAGGGTAGGGCAAAAAGGCTATCTTTTGAAATCTACAAGCCAAAGAAGTCACTCTTTTTTATTTCGCTAATTTAATGTGAAAGTGAAATGGGTTC